TTCAAATTGAAATTTTGCTCATAGATAGGTCTTATAAGCACTAGAAACTCCCCAAAGTTTGAGCCAGAATAAATGTATCTTTATCGAGATATTCACGTTTTAAAGAAACGCCTGTTTTGAGCTTTGTTTCAAAATAGAGACATTTTCATGACAAGCTAATATCTCGATATGGATGCGTTCGTTCTGGTTCAAACTTTGAGGAGTTTCTAGTGCTTATAAAGCCTATCGATGAGCAAAATTTCAATTTGAAATTCGATCATTCAGATACTCAGAATAATCTTATGCTCATAAGCTAAAATCAAGGAAAAGACCCATAACTCGACAATAGAAGGTTGGAAAACCAAACCATTCTAGGGCATTAAATAAATTACTGAAATCTATCGTTTGCACACATACGGCTCAAAATCGATTGGACAGTTGAATATGTTCCCTCGTTAGTTGCGTTCCAATAATTACACACTAATAATTTTTTTTTGAGTACAAAACGAAAGCAATTTTCCTTAAATTATGAAACAAACTGCGAAAACTTATCAATATTATGTATTCATTTTCCATTTGCTCACAGCAGCGCTGTGACCACTGTGATATGACGAGTACGAATTATAAAACAACTCTTTAAATACAAAAGGCTAGAAGATGATCGTATTCAAATAAACCACACTACTTTAGGACGTATCGGTGAAAATATTTTCAAGAAACTTTTGTATTTAATTACAATGTCTGTAAAAATGACAGTTACACTCTAAAGGAGAAAGATTTTATTTAATCATATTAAAGATTTTTCTTGCAGTAAACCTAAATTTGGTCGAAAATAAATATGTCGGTAAAGAAATGAGGGTGTACGAGTGATGATGAAAGTGATTTCTACTTTCATTTTCTACAGTTCGACGTTTTTACTTTCGAACTTCTTCTATTGAATCAGTTTATGCAGACTCGAAAATCTAATAATGTTTAGGATTCAAAGTTTCTTATAATCCTGTAAAAATCTTTTGCTAATCGTTGTCTTTTTTCGAACTAGCTTGTAAAAAATATCTACTATTTTGAATGTATAAAAAGTCCAGAAATGTCTACTATTGATTTTAGACGTCAGTATTACGTATTATATATCATATGAAATATTGAAGAAAGTTGAAAATAAATGGAGCTTTTTCAATCAGTTTTTCATATAAATTCTTTATGTAAGATGAACTGATAAATATGTATGGTAAAGGTACCTTTGTATTTTATAGGGTGAGCTACATAATTTGAAATGTTTCTCATTAACAAGTTATAATGTCACTTTGCATAATGACGAATTGGTTATTCCGCTTCTTCGTCGTATGACGCATCTCGACAAGTTAACTTTGTATCTTCGTAGTCGTAGTCGAAGTACATTCATCGATGGTACACATCTTCAAAATGAATTTCTTGTTCATATGCCTCAACTGCATACATTCATCTTTTATATTAGTACAGAAACGATCCTTTCTGCTTCATTTCCTCGTCAATCTAATGATGATATTCAACGAATATTTACAAATATAAAATATGGAGAAACGGCTTGTATCATAGATTATTTCAGTGGTTTTAACGTCATATATCATGTTTACTCGCTTTCATTCGCATTTAGTTCGCTGGAAAAGATCACGAATGGCTTTCCAACTATCGTATTTAATAATGTAACTCGTTTATAAGCCTACGATGTGATTCCAATGAATCATAAATTCTTTATGCGAATTGGTCAAGCTTTTTCAGTGTTTAAGTTATTCACTATACAGAATGATGCAAAGTGCACATGGGAACCTGATGAATTGAGATTTGATGAGACTTCATCTTATTCAGTTATTGAACATTCTCATCTTACATCATTTGATATCGCAAATACGAATATTGGTTGTGTTGTACAATTTTTACATGAAAGAAGTATACATTTACCTCGTCTAACTGAGTTAAAAATCAATTATCACGAATTGAAAACTGTGACAATGAACTTCACAAGAGATGAAACACGACACAATTGTTCTAAAGTGGAACGATTGATCCTTTTTCAAGCTCCAACAGTTGTTTCAAAAGAAGTTTATGAATATTTTTCTTTATTGTAAATTTATTTCTATTTTGTTGTTTTCAATAAAAATAAATCATGTAAAAATTCTTATATTATTAAAAAGAAACAAAAAAAAAAGAGGAAGAAATAATAATTGTTTTGCGATAGAATGCTGGATTGTAAACATATTTTTATTGAAAAATTGTTCGTATTATATTAATGTCTTTTACTTATAAGTGAAACTATTTCGCTCAATGACAATTTCTGAGAGAAAACTATTACAACAGTTCTATGTGAATTGTTGAGATTCAGCACTAGCTTGCATAGAGTGAGACCTGTTTAATCTGATATCTTTTGTGTATGGTGTCGTTCTTATCTAACATATGTTTCCGGTAAAAGATGTTGAATCAGAAGCAATTTTAATTGCATCATTAGGTTTATTTTTTCTTGTCCATGATCTGTCATCGAAAGTTGTAACATTGTATAATTATATTGGTCTTCTGTTTGTACAAAATATATGAATTTAGGACAGATGTTTATTTATTTTGAGAAAATTCTCATAGATTATTGGGAGATCTACTGTGAAATATAGGCAAGTGACACATTTATAAGAGTAGTATTTTATGAATCTCTGAAATATTTTAAAGAGATTAGATTTAAAGATCATATAATTGTTTGAAAAGATTTTCTTTAAGTTCAATCATAATTGTTTTGATTGAATTAGTGTTGGTTTTTTTTTGAAGAATGTCGAATGTAGAAACGCTGAAAGTATAGAACTTAAGAGACAGTTGTATCGTCGACTATCTCGGTTTTGGTTCGGTTTGGTTCCAAAAAAACATGAACTGATTCCATCTGTCCTAGATATTCTTCAAAATGCAGCCTCAGAAACCTTTGTTCGAGAGGCTTATCATTAAAAAATTAGTGTTATCGACGTGATGTATTCAGAGAATTCGAGTAACAAACAAAAAACCTTCATGTACTGACAGAACACAACTTACAAGCCGTTAGATATTAATTCATTAAGCATATTCAAAATGCATCATTAGCTCTGTTCATAATAATAGAAGCTGTATCAGGTTGATTTCAAGATATTTCCATCTTTTAAAAGCCAAATCTATAAAATATATTCCAAAAAGAAAAAAAAGTAGAAGTCGATAAATTAAATTTTAAAATAAATATATTATGATAACTGAAATCGAGATATCGTTAGTTGAAATGAAAAAATAGGTATTTTATATTTTGATTGGTTCGTTCTACCTAAAATTAAATTTTTAATCAATTGATATTTTCAATGAATGAAAAAGTGATCTCGTGCTCACCGTATGATTTTTGTTTTTATTACAAATCAAAAATTGTTCAATATCATCATTATTAAATATGATAAATAATAATAAATAGTACTACAAAAGAAAATGACGTTATTTTTTTTTGCTTCAAAATACACGTTTTTTAATGTTCTATATACGAATATATGTAAATAGATTTTGATGAAATCAATCTTGAAGTTTTATTTGAAAATCCTGATACTAAATAATTACTTTTATTTGGATAGAAGAAAAACAAAATGTCTCTTAGTGGTGATAATAATGTTGTTCACCGTACGGGTACCCTTAAACAACAAAATAAACCATTTGAAACTGGTCGATATCATTCTCAACATGAAATAAAACGACGCACTAACGGTTTTTCTTTTCAATTTTTTCGTCTTTAAATAAATGAAAAATTTTAACGTCGAGTTACAGAAAAGAAACATGCACGTAGTTTGAAACAATTAAATGTAACAAATAAACAAAATCGTATAAATAAGATATTCATGGTGTTCCACAACTTATTGTAATTTTTTTAAATATCGAATGTGAAATTCAGTCGAATCTTTCGTTCATTGGAAAATCTTTGGAATATTTGTCTTAATCGTAGTCTTACGAGATTTTCTTTCTTATACTTGAAAAAGAAGATTTTATGCTATTGTTTCAATTGGAATTCGTCGAGAACAAAAAATGTCATTAGAGATATATTATCAAGTATCTCTTACGAATATTCATGACACTAAGAATAAAATCTCTAGGAAAACTAATGAGACTTTGGATATTAATAAAAATAAATTTTTCCTATTGACGAGACTTATTAAAGAGTATTTCAGTATAGACTCCAGGCTATGTTTATTTAAGATATTGAAGAAATTTTATGCAGTGTTCAAAGTCTTAAAATCTACTGTTTGTTTCTTAAATTTTATCAAATAATAAAAACTAATCATGATTCACATTTTGATATAATCAAAAAAATGATTTTGCACTCAGAAAGAAAATTTCTTGATAGAGACCGATGTATCCAAAACGAAAGATATTAGATTAAAAATATAGATTGACAGCAACTTCCGAAATTTTTTTATAAAATTCCACTATATATTTTATGATGAGATGATAAGAGTAGAGTGAAAGCTGAATGTGAGAGCTAAGTGTTCTGAACTATGGGTAGTTTTTGGTACAGTTAAAATATATTCTATTCTATAAATCTCAGTATCCCTTCTAAAGACATTGATTGTATACTAAAATAAATATAATTTATTTAATAGACAGTAATACCTTTATCATCAGATGTTACAACAGAATGTGGTGCAAGAATTTATATGTATGCTCATATATTTTATTTTCTATTATAAAAATAGATAAATAAAAATTAAATTTCCAAAACGTCGTTAAAAAATTGTGTTGTTTAACACCAATACCAACACCAACAAATTTGGAAAATATTCTTGATGCTGTAAAGGTTATTTTAATATAAATATATTTGTTTAAAAATAATAAAATAACTTTAGATGTGTGATACAATTATTTATGTAATATCATCATTGCATGGTATATCAAATGAAGAAGATTATTTATTTGATTTAATAAATGTTCATTGTTTACCTGGAAGTATAATATATACAGTTGTATAATCTTCAAATGATAATTCAATGTCAACAATATCACGTGTTTCATTAACAAGAAATTTAGAAAAATTTCTTAAAAATAGATTTTGAAATGTTAAATTAGTTTCATTAGATAATGAACAAGATGGTCAACGTCTTATTAGAAAATTAATTGAACAAAAATTAGTTAAATCAACTAAAACATGTTTAAGACCTTATTTATTTGCTCAATCATTTTCATATGCAAATCTAAAAGTAAAAAAATAAAAATTTTTATTTGTTATTTATTTTATATAAAATTTATTTAGTCATCAATAAGTACATTAAAATAAAGTGTATATTTACGTGGAATAGATTTACCTTCAAATGATGTTGTTTATATTCCTGATTTAGGAACATTTCAATTAGAAAAAATTTCAACAAGATGTATGTTAAAATAATTATTTCACTTTTTTAAATTTAAAATGATAAAATTTAGTCAAATGGAATAATAAAATCAATTGTTGAAAAAACATATTTATCTGAAAAAGATCTTCAACGATCATTAGCATTTGAAGCTGAACCAGATCCAATGAATAATGATCAAGAGCAAACATGCCCAACGACTGAAGAACTTAAAAAAGCACAAGCGCAACAAAATGAATTAAAAAAACACGTGTACCGAAAGGTACATCAGAATATTAAGCTGCTTCGATTCTTTCAGATGATGAAGATAAAAACAATTCTATTTCACAAGAAAAAGTATTTAGATTTTTTTCTTTTAATATTATAATATGATTTTATTTTAGGATTTTGATGATGACCAACAAGAGATAATAATTGCTAATGCTGATGATTTAGAATCAATTCAACTTGATCAAGAAGAAGAAGAAGAAGAGAGAGAAATGAATGAATTTATTATTAATCCAAATAATTATGATGAAAAACTCGATTTAGATGAAGATACAGAAACGGTTGTTGAATTATTTTTCTTTAAAAATGTTATTTTTTTTTTCTTTGAATTTTTTAGTTTAAAAAGATTAAAAGAAGCTAAATTAGATGAATAATTTCCTGATGAAGTTGATACACTAATGGATGTTCCTGCTCGGGTTCGATTTCAAAAATATTTTTTACTGATTTTTTTTAATAAGAAAATAATTTACTTTGTTTTATTTTTATTAAAGATATTGTGGTTTAAAAAATTTTCGAACAACCAAATGGGATGTTAAAGAAAATTTATCAGAAGAATATGGAAGAATTTATCAATTTCCTAACTTTCGAGCGATGATTAAACCAATCCAAACTGAACAACAAGATAATCAATCAAAACAAAATCATGCACAGGTTTTACTTTTTATCATTATCGAATTTTTATTTTTATGAATAAACTTTTAAAATATTGTTTTAATTGATCAACTTCAAACAGTACACAAAAATTTTGTCTTTTTAAGTTAATCAGATCATTTTACCTCTTTCAATCGATTATTCATTAAAATTTTCATTCATTAAGTTGTGAATTTCTATTCAAAATAATTTATTGAATCAATTTTAATTAAATTTTTATAAATAGTGCCAGTGGTCTTCTCGAAAAGAATACGAGGCATTTTTTGTGTGTTGAAAATGTCGTCTGATCGGTAGAGACTGTCGGGTTGGATCCGACTCCGGACCTGAATATTCACTTTCGACTAGATTTGGTCCGTGTTGATAGTTGCTACTCTAAAAGTAACAGTCAATTATGATTCTATTCTTATACGATTACCATCAAGATGCTCCGAGAAACGTTCAGGGCGTGCTAGTTGATCAATCTAAATAAGCGAAAAAAGTATCTTGTATATTCGGAGCAAGTCTGAGTCCAAAAATTTTTGACCCAACAGGCTCTATTGACCAGTGAAATACGCAGATCTTGAATTAGTCTTTTATGTCTCAAAAAAAAAAAGAAGTAATCTCTACACTAACTAAATCCAATGATGGATAGCCATTCAATATACGAAAGTTCTTAATGAGGTTCTAGCATTTGTAAAATACTACTATTTACAATGAATTATATATCAATCGATATAACTAATCGAGATCTGTTCAATAATGTGAATTTTGTCCATGACAATGTTGTGGTGTAACTTATGGGAGGACATATCCTGCTGTAGCATATATGAAAGGTTCTAGAAAACTTTTAATCTTGAGCTTCTTCTTGGTAGTGATGAAATATATATCAATCGATAGAACTCGTCAAACTGAGTCAAATCGAATAGATTTCACATGTGGCACAAGTCATAGCGCAAATCGTTAGATGGAATATCTCTAAGTTATTTCTTCTATTCATAGTATAGTTTTTTTTTTCATCAACTAATTCGTTTGATTCTCATCTAAGAACATAAAGAAAAATATCAAAAAGGTTTTTATTTACTATTAATTATGGGTCCTAATAGCTTATTTTTAATATAATATTCAGTTAAAATATACGAAAAAATGAGTAGGTTTTTAATTGTATCTTCATTTCATCAAACGAATATCGAACATGTAAACACTACATATCAAAATAAAATAATTATTAGTGTTTAAAACGAAGACAATTCTATGCAATGAGAAATCAATTCAGATCGTATACTTCGAAATACTATCATATGATGAATTGACATTAACGTGAAGCTACCACGACGGATTTAGGTGACTTCGAAATCCTTAATGTTGTCCTTGTTGCCAATGTCGGACATGATAAAAAATAATTATATTCATTCATAGGAGTCAATAGAAAACTCTATAGATTGACACAGGACATTACTTTTACACAATCTGTTGATTTAGTAACAATATTACCAAATGAAGATAATGACTCAAGAATTGAATCAATACTCGATCGATTCTGTTTTTCAATAATACCTCGAATTCAACACAATATTCAATGTCTTACTCTTGATCCATTGTCAATAGATCGTGTTCTTCATATTGGAAATTATCTTCAACTTCATAAACTTACTCTTGTTAATCTTCAACTTGAAATTGCATCTCGTATTTTTTCTATGGTATGTCCTCTTTTCAGTTATTCTTCAAGATAAAGTAAACTAAGTCGATTAATTAATTTATTGTATATATTCAGACGGATCATCATTTTTTTAAATATTTTCAAAAATTAGATTTCACATCTGAATGTTACGATTAATGATGGCAGCACAGGTCAATATATACAAAAATTATCCACAAATGTTTTCACCACTATTTTGACAATATATACAAATTAAACTTACCTTCATTTCAGTTTAAAAGACATTTGTCGGTATCCACCAACATCACTTATTGATTTCGTATCTCCAACATGTTATCCATCAAGTATTATTCATTTGAATGTTAGAGTGCGTAGTTTTAACGATTGTCGAAGTTGATTACATTTGTAATACATCAATGACTATCATCAATAATATGGTAAAATATTTTAAATTATAGAAAAATAGTACTTTCATCTCAGCTTTTGATAAAGCGCTAAAGCACTTGTATGACGAAAAATAATAAATTAGTATATATATATGAATAAATTTAAAAACATAAAGTTTATTTATCGATATTAGATAAAGCAAAACATAAACATATTACAAAAAGGCAATAAGTTAACAGAAATATTTCATTATGAGGCTTTTTACAGTGTCTGAGTTTAACGTTATCGAATTTCGTCTTCAATTACTTTCAGAGAGTTTTTTCACATATAGATCAAATAGTTTCCTAAAGAAAAATAATTTGATCAATCATAATATGAGACTATATTATTTTGATTTTTTCTTTCTATTTTTCGAAGTTTTAAAATTGTTTTCGATGAGAAAAGGATATGCCATTGCCAATAATATTAAAGACTTGTCATTCTATTACTGTTATAGATATTGCAAAAATTTATCAAATCAACAAATCAAGTATTGAATAATAAGAAAATGTTTGTCTAAGAATTGATTCTGAAAGTTTCATATGATAAATCATTTTGGATATCAGAATCTATTTTTGGTTTCATCAGTTTTCTATGAAAGAATAAAGACACATTTATTAATTGAGTAGATCTTGTCATGCATAGTCATGTCTAAATATATTTGATAAAATATTAATTTAATAATTGATGGATAACGGAGTATAACTAAGACCCCAAATATTTAATTATCTAGTGATTAGACTGATCTTGTTTGAATTATCAATTTGACATCACTTTATATTTTAATCTTTTTTAGAAAACTGTGTCTAATCTAAAATGTTTCTCGTTGTTTTCATTTCGTCACACAACGGAGTATGATAAACAAATGGTATCATTTCTTCGTCAAATATCACAATTAGAAAAACTTAACGTTATCCGTTATTATTTGTCATCGAACTTTATTCATTGATGGAAATCATTTAGTTGATGATATAATTAGTAAAATGTCACATCTACATTCATTTATCTTCAACATTATATCCCAAAATGTCATCATGAACAAAAAACTTTTACCAACAGTTGATGATGTTGAACATGCGCTCATCCACAGTGCGATCGTTACCGAAAGAATTAATTTTGAGGAAGATGCAAAAGAAGTTTCTCTTTTGTATAGTCTACCTTTTTTCTACTTAAAGTCGAGGTGAAACATAAATATATTACATGTAAATGGAAGCACTTATTGATGCACATTAAATGATTCTTGTAAGAGATATATTACGATAGACAGGGCTACTTACCGTTGTCCTTATATTTGTTATACCGTTCAACAACGTAATAAAGATAGAAGAATAACAAATTAATTTGTTTTATTCACTTGCTTCATTACAGGTATTTTAAAGATTGATAATGATGGTTGGTTTTTTTACTAGTAACTCATAAGAAATATGATATTTTATTTTATATAAAACTTCTGCTCCGATCAAGTCTCAGAATCT